TCTGGTTACTTTAAGTACAAGCAGTTGAGACATTGGCTGATGAGTGCCCTCAAAAGCCACTAGTCCTTGCCAATCATGTCAGAATACAGGCAAGGGAGGCTGAGGCAGGAGGACTGCCATGAGTTAGAGGGCTACATAGTGAGACCCTGTCTCAAAAAAGAAAAAAAAAAAAAATCAGGTGAGGGCCTTTGGCACTGGAAAAGGCGCTGCCCTGATTCCCAGGAGGGGTCAAGGTCTTCTACTCCCACGGCTTCCAGAGAAGAATGGCCAAATTTGGTTGCCAACAGGGCCCAAGGCTGTCCTATGGCCTTGGAAGAGTCTCCAGTAACTCCAGGTAACGCTAGGTATCACTAGTAGTAAGTTCCTTTTTTTTGGATACAAGAGTCTCTTACTCTATCCCAGCCTCCTATGGGGCAAATTACAATCTCATTCCTCAGCTGTTGTGCACCCCAAAGGAGTTCACCAGTCAAGATTTCCTTTTCCAAACTGCTTTCTTAGTACTACCAACATGTCCCATACCAGTAACTAGAAGATGTATTCCTTCTGTCCAAGGCAACCTTGTCACTCAATCCTTTGGCAACACTTGTAATGGCCAGGGACCCAGGGACCTGGCCATCTGGGCCCCATCAAGCCTAAGTCCTTTGCCAGGAAATGATTCCCAAACATGGTACAATTGTACTCTGGGGTGGATGACCACTTAGCTCAATAATGCTAACTTATACCCTCAAAAAAGGCAGTACCTTCTCCGACATGAGGTTATGCCTAGGCTAACACCCATTATTGATAAATTTTTGGCTGCTTCATCACCAGTGCCACAACAGGCCCTGTGCAATGTCCTAGTTGTAGTCAAAACCCTGGAGGACATCACCTAGGGTGAGATCTCAGTCTCAATGAGACGGTGATGCCTCCTCACCCGCTGTGGGCAGAACCCATACACTCACCCTGCATGGACCCTGTGAGATACTAACTGGTTCTCCACTCTTCATTTCAAGGAAGTCTTTTTTCTATGCCTTTGGGTGTCCTCACTCCCAGGAGTTGTTTGCTTTTCAATGAGAGGATCCTTAAAATGGACCTCCAATAACAGTCTTGTGGGGCTACCCTGCCTCAGAGGTTAAGAGACAGATCTTCTGTGTTCCCCAAAGCTCAACTTGAAGAGGTCTACTAAAATAGGACCTCCATATTTGTAGCCCCACCAACTCTCAGAACTCTGGAATTCCTAGAGCAAAGGCAGTGGCTTTTGTTATTCATACAGAGCCCTTCCAGCAAGTTCTAGAGGGAATTTAGGTGGCAAATCATACACCTGGGATAGGGCAGGTCACCGAAGTAGCAAGGATTACAGGATTAGGATTTTTACCCCCACCCTTCCCCACCCAGGGACTACTGAGACAGAGAAGGTAGATAGCTTGCCCTAAATATCTCTTTATCTGCTTGGTTACCTGCATCCTTTATGATGTTCTCTGTAATAAACTGGTAAATATAAAGGCTTCTCTGAGTCTGTGAACTAACCTAGCAAACCACCAAACCCAACGAGGGTTTTGTGGGTAGCCTGATTTGCAGTGGGTTGGTTAGAAATATAGGGAAGGCTGGGCACAATGCCATGGATCTCGAGTCCCATCTGCTTGGGAGGCACTGCAGAAAGGATCACTTGAGCCCACAAGTTGAATACCAGGCTGGACAGCAAGAAAAATGAGACCCAGCTACAACAATGCGGGCTTCAACAATGTGGGATGAGGTCATCTTAGCCCACAAATTATCTGTACAATTTCACATACAATGCATGGCACATACTCAAAGCAAGTATTCATGGAGGAGACAAACTCAAATGACTAGAGGCCCATTAAAAATGTGATTGTTATTAGACACAAACTTTAACTATGTTTACAACATTCAATTCAATATATAACTGCCAACATCAAGAACCAGAAACTATTTTTAAAAAAGACATTCTAGAATTTAATGACAAAATTTTGCAATAGTTGACTTTAACCGGGTTTTAGCCCAGCAGAAGAGAAAATCAACACTAGGGACTAAAAGACTAGAAAATACTGAGGTAGATCATAAGATAAGGATAGCATCGAGATAAGGAAACAATCGCTGAAAGGGGTGATCAGTTAAAGAAGGTTAAGCCTGTCTTTACTCTGTAAGTCTGTCCTGTTTCCCTTTAGGCTCACCATACCCAAATTCCCAGTGTGTTGGCCCACCCTATAATCCCAGGATTGCCAGGGCTACACAGTGAGTTCAAGGCCAGCTTGAACTATATAATGAGACCCAGTTTCTAAATAAACAAAATTCTAACAGATTACTAGAGAGTCTATGCCAATTGTTTGAGATAAGGATTTAAGAAGGGGGGCCAGGGATTTAGCTCAGTGGCACAAGCACCTGCCTGCCAAGTACCAGGTCATGAGTTTGATCCCCAGTACGGGGAAAAAAAAAAAAAAAGATTTAAGAAGGTTAACCTCAACAGAGAGGAGGAAATGATGCAAAGGTAATAGAAACAAAACACCCACTAGGAATCTACTGAAGGAATTCAGATGAAAGTTGCTGATAAAACTGTACAGAATGAGGACATTAGTTCAATCCTAAATACAAAAAAAAAATAACCCACAACATGGACAGAGGTGACACAATCAAAGAGGAAGGGCACAGGAGGCTGAGGCAAGAGGATTGCTGTGAGTTCAGAGGCCAGTCTGGGCTATACAGCAAGTTTAAGCACAGCCTGAACTACACAGCAGAGACCCTATCTCAAAAAACCAAAACCAACCCAGGCACAGTGGCCCACACCAGTAATCCCAACACTCAGGAAGCTGAGCAGGAGGATTATCACTGAGTTGAGGCCAGGCTGAGACATAAAGTGAATTAAAGACCAGCTTGAACTATATGATGAAACCCTGCCTCAAAAAAGACCAAAAGTGCAAACAAAACAAAAAAGTGGAAGGGCAAATATTTTCAGTAAAACTATTTAATTATTTAGTTTTTTCTGAGTGGTTTTTTTTTTTTTTTTTTTTTTTTTTGCAGTACTGGGGATTAAACTCACGACCTCGCACTTGCCAGGCAGGCGCACTTATGCCGCTGAGCTAAATCCCCGGCCCCAAGATTTTGGTAGGTTTTTAATCACATGATCCTGCGTAGTTATCATGGCAGAGGTACAACATGACAAAGAATACCCTATCAGATTTCTTACTGATCCAAGCCAGACTCCCTGTTCCTCCCTCCTGTGTGTGCCAAGCATTCCCCAACCTCCAACCTGAGCACACTAACACATAGCAATAATCCATCACTGTCAATTAACCAGACCCCCCTCCCCAAAATGGTTATCTTTATAAGCAACCCCCAATCCTTTGTCCAGCAAGAGAGCTCTGCACTCACAGTGCGTGAATCTCTCCTATGCCTGCGTTAAAGGTCTTTCTGTTCTTTGTATTTCTCCTATTTCGCACCTTTAAAATAATCCCCAAGCTTTTTTTTTTGTTTGTTTTCAAAAAAACCTTGCAGTTTACCCAGAAACACAACATACACACGTTACAAGACCTATTAATCACAAAATATATAAAAACCTGGAAGTTAAAGAGTCTAGCCAGGGGGCTGGAGATTTAGCTCAGCGGCATAAGCACCTGCCTTGCAAGTGTGCAGTCATGAGTTCGATCCCTGGTACCGATAAAAACAAAAAAGACAAAAAAAAAAAAGAGTCTAGCCAGGCATGGTGGCTCATGCCTGTAATCCCAGCACTTGGGAGGCTGAGGCAGGAGGATCTTTGCGAGTTCCAGACCAGCATGGGCTACAAAGTGAGCTCAAGGCCAGCTTGAACTGCACAGCAAAACCCTGTCTCAAAAAGACAAAAAAAAAAAAAAAAAAAAAGAGTCTAAACTAGACATGGTGAGCCAAGCATGCAGGCACACATCCACACTCCCAGCGCTCAGGAGACTGAGGCAAGAGAAATACAAATTTGGGCCCAGCCTGGGCAACTCAGTGACTTAGTGAGACCTTGTCTCAGAAAATAAGAAGTCTGTCAGGTTTGTGGCACATAACTGTAATCCCAGTTCTAGGCAGTCTGAGGTAAAAGGATCTCCATGAGTTCAAAGCCAGCCTTCACTACATAAACCCTGTTTCAGTATAAATAAATAAGATGATATAAAGATATAAAAAACTAAAAATGTAGGAAGATGTAGCTCCTTGCAAAGAACCAGGAGTCAGGGGCTGGGGATTTAGCTCAGCGGCATAAGCACCTGCCTTGCAAGCAGGCGGTTGTGAGTTCGATCCCTGGTGCTGATGGGGAAAAAAAAAAAAAAACAGGAGTCAATTCCAAGTACTAAAGAAAAAGGGGTGAAGGGTCTGTTGTTTTTCACTATCACACATCTCCCAGTGAAGGTGTCAAAGCTTAGAAGAGCTTTAAACTAAGTCGGATGAGAAAATTGGCACTTAATAATGTGTCTGTTTTCTTGGGTTGTGAGGTGACTACAAGAGGCAGAAACAGTAAAACAAAATGCCGGCTAAATTGACCAGACTAGAGGGTAACTGCCTGGGAAAGTGAAAACTGAGATATGTTAACCCAAAAAGTTGCTTAGGCACTTACCCAAGGTTTCCACAGGTCGTTACAGTGGTGAACTTTAGGTCCCTTTTTCACTAGCCAACAGTCACCCTCACCTCCACGCGGCGCACATATTTGGCACTCAACAAATCTTCACTAAATGAAAGTCTTATCTCATAATTGGTACCCAACCCCGGAACGGGGGCCCCATAAATTACCTTGAATGACACTCAAGATTGGACTCGAAGAGCTGAGAGTGTCAACAGGAAGGCTCTAGGGATCTGTGTAGACTGGTGACAATCAAGTCAATGCGACTTGCGCCAACCAGATTTCTCAAAGAAAATGGGGACTCAAAGGACCGAACCCTAACTAGTTGGCTTTGACTTTCACAAGGAGATGCCCAGTGGGCTGAAGAGACATAGCCTCCCACCCGGAGGCGCTGAAAGCTCTGGGGGTATCCCCCTCAAAAAGTTAGTACCTGCGAAGCTGCGGCACAGAGAGAGGCGAGGAGCTCTCATTACGGAGGCCGGGACCCGGGGTCGGCCAGCCGTTCCTCCTGGGCGAGGTTCTGCGCCCCAGGACTGCAGGGACAGCGGGTCAGACAGACACCTCTGGCCTCAGGGGGCTCCTGGCTCGCAGACTCCAGGCGTTTTACTCCTAGGACTGAGCAAGTTGTCGCACTCGCACTCACGTCGGCTTGTTTTCTTCAGGGCTCCTTTTTTATCAAGCGATCACTCCTGCCTTAATCCAGCAGCCAGTCCCTCCCCGGCGCCGCCATCGTTAGTGTTTGTTTTCATTCGCTCCGGTGCAGACAGTGGTGATGTTGGAAGTTATAGGGAAAATCTAGCTGCCTAACTTTAGCTACACTTTTGCTACACCATGTAAGTCCTACTTACTTCTTTAGCTCCGCGAATTATCCACAAAAGTTTATCTCCTCCCATATAAATCTTCTTACGTAATTTTTTCAAGCCCGTCAGGGAAGAGTAAAGGAGGTGACCAAAAGGTCTTGGAGAAAGAGAGTACTTAGGACTTTCTATGGAATGTGCGGCCGTGAAACGTAGACTGCAGGGGCAGCGGCGGTGAGGACGCGGCGGTGGGCGGGGCTGACGCGACGGGGCGGGGCCGCGCTTGCGCGCTCTGGCGGCCTGCGCGCGGCCACGAGTTCCGGAGAAGGGCTGGCCGGCTGGGCTGGCTGGGTGGGTGGGGTGCGGGACGGTAACCTGGCAGCGGCGGAGAGGTGGGTGTACAGTTTTAGCTGATGTGGAGCGGCCGGCGCCGTCACACTTCGGTATCCAGCTCTTCCTTCGCTCTTTTCTTTTAAACTGACCGGTCTTCCTTTCTAGCCCGCAACGTTGAGTTTTTTTTTTTTAGCCGAGCGTGGTGGCTCACGCCTGTAATCCCAGCGTTTGGGAGGTTGAGGTAGGAAGATTGCTACGAGTTCGAGGCCAGTAAGGGCTGCGTAGCGAGACCCTATCAGAGTTTTAAAAAATTTCTTGGGGTACGGAGAAAGCCTGTTATTAATAATACACAAGCCCTCCACGTTGGTTGGTGGGCTACCCGCTTTCTCTTTAGGCTAACTTGTGCACCTCCACACCTGTCCCGCACTTAACAGGTAGAGCCTTCGGGTTCTGGGTAACAAACCTGTGACGAATCCTTGCCCAAGGAACTTAGGTTGTGTCAGCTGCTTTGTGGCCTAATTAGAAGCAAAAACATTTTCCCTTGTGAATAATTGTATCATCCCCTGCATTAATCGTTTGCCATTCTCATTTGAAAAGCCAGGCATTAAATGAGCCACAGAGTTTAAACCCGCACTATTCGTTAAACCAGACCAAATTTAGTGGAGTCAAAATTTAATTCTTTAAAATTGTATGGTCCTAATTTCACTATCACTGATGGCCTATAGTTATAACTGCTGAGAAAAATGTAAGTTACAGGTACAGCACCTTTTGCCTAAACAAAATGGATTTGCTGAAAAGATGCTGCTGTAGCCGTAGAGTCACTTTCATGTCCTTCCTGCGTTTCTAATTATTACGATTTTTTTTTTTTTGATACCGGGGATCGAACGCACGACCTTGTGCTTGTCAGGCAAGCACTTATGCCACTGAGCTAAATTTAAATTCACCAGCTCTCTAATTATTTTTTTCTTTCAACTTTTACAGAGGGAAGATTATAAATGTCAGAGCTGTTTAACTTATGCTTAGCTGATGAATTCTACTGACACATCCTTAAATATCTTCTCTCACCAAGGTCTTCGTTGAGAAGAGTTCAGAAAAAGTAGCAGATAGGAGAGGCAGCATTCACGTTTGCTATGGCCATTCCCATAACAGTGCTTGACTGTGATCTTTTGCTGTATGGCCGGGGACACCGGACATTGGACCGTTTTAAGCTGGATGATGTGACCGATGAAGACTTGATGTCCATGTATGGGTTTCCGCGACAGTTCATTTATTACCTGGTGGAGCTCTTGGGGCCCAGTCTTTCTCGACCTACTCAGCGGTCCAGGGCCATCAGCCCAGAGACACAGATCCTTGCAGCCCTGGGCTTTTATACATCAGGCTCCTTCCAGACCCGAATGGGAGATGCTATTGGAATCAGCCAGGCCTCTATGAGTCGTTGTGTTGCCAATGTCACCGAAGCACTTATGGAAAGAGCCACCCAGTTCATTCACTTTCCAGCTGATGAAGCCTCTGTGCAGGCTCTGAAGGACGAATTCTATGGGTTGGCAGGGATGCCTGGGGTGATAGGGGTGGTTGACTGTATCCACGTGGCAATCAAGGCACCAAATGCTGAAGACCTCTCATATGTGAACCGCAAAGGTCTGCATTCTCTAAACTGCTTGATGGTATGTGACATCAGAGGGGCATTAATGACTGTGGAGACAAACTGGCCTGGCAGCCTACAGGACTGTGCTGTGCTCCAACAGTCCTCCCTAAGTAGTCAATTTGAAGCTGGGATGCACAAGGATAGTTGGCTTCTTGGTAAGTTTGCAGGTGTAAATCTTTAGCTTGTACTCAGGAGGATCACCAGAGTTTGAGGCCAATCTGGACTGCATAGTGAAACCCTGTTTCCAAAGTAAAAACAATTTAAAAATCTTTAATTTGTAGCCATACACAGATTATGTAGTAGAAGTCCAGGATGATGGGGGTGCTTGGAGGTCGAGTGAGACAGGAGAATTGCAAGTTCAAACCCAGCCTGGGTAAAATAGGGACCTGTATGAAAAGAAAATATACACTGGGCGTATTGGCTCACATCTGTAATTCCACTACTCAGGAGACTGAGGCAGGAGGATCACTTTGTTTTGTTTTTTTTTTTTTTTTTTGGCAGTACCAGAGATCCAACTCACGACCTTGCGCTTGCCAGGCAGGCACTTATGCCACTGAGCTAAATCCCTGGCCCAGGAGGACCACTTTGAGTTTAAACCAGTTTGAGCTACAAAATGAGTTCAAGGCCAGCCTGAACTACATAGTGAAACCCTGTCTCAGAAAGACCAATAACAACAACAAAACCTCTGGAGGCTGAGGCAGGAGGATATGACTTCCGGGGCTACAGAACATGCTTAACGCCAACCTGGACTGCATAGTGAGATGCTGTCACCAAAAACGAAACAATTGCATTTTTATACTGGTCTCAGGAAGTAAAGGAGAGTGTGTTTTTCAAGTGTCCCATCTAGATATTTTATCCAGAGATGTGGGAATTCTCAGGTTCCAAGCTGATTTCTTCAATATCCTCAATCTCTTAATTTTAGTATCCTAATTAAAAACCCAGACTAAAATTACTGAACCCTTAAAATTTGTTATTGTGCCCAATGTGGTAGCATACATCAGTGCTTCCAGCACTCACGAGGCTGAGGAAGGAGAATCACTGTCAGTTTGAGGATATCCTGGGCTACATAGAAAGTTCAAGGCCAGCCTGAACTGCATAGTGAGACCTTGTCTCACATACTTAAATACATACATGCATGCCTATATAAAGATATACATATGTATGTACCATCCAGCACATATGCCCTCTAAACAGGAAAATTAGTTTGAGAACTCCTAATTAATACAGTGTTTAGTGCCTGCCCACATGCATGAGACCTTGGGGTCAGTCCCAGAATTCACGTAAACTCTGTTACTTGGCCCCATTTCAATCTTCAGGACTGAGAATCCTCAAGGAAATAATATAGACATTCATTTTTGCCTAAGACCTAAAAATGATTGATGTGATGGGGAAACTTCTAGAGCTTGTGTGGACAAGCTCTAGAGAGGAAGACTGGCAGGATGATGAAGAAAGATGCATTAGTGAGAGAAGAGAGAGATTAGACCGCTGCTGTCAGATTCCTGGACTAGTTCTGGGTTTGTCCAGAGCCAGCCTAGATCCTTGATCCTTCGGTGTTTTCACTTGAGAGCCACTCTTTGCTATCCCTTCAGGGTAGTTAACATAAATTTCTCTCCTCCTGTTTCTGCTTCTGCAAACAAATTCAGCTCAGTTCTTCAGCTCTTGACCCAGTCTTGTAAGCAGCTTAGTGTGAGATCCGCCAGAATATCTTGTGGGTGACTGATTGCATAAGCAGCCATAATCTGCAGCAGTTCTGATCCTAACCCCCCCCCCCATAGAGTCTGTTTTGCCCAGGGAGCTTGAATTCGCAGGAGCACTTGACAAAAGGTCTAGATTAAGTAGCTTGTTTTGTATTATCTCCCCCCATGTAGGGCCCATACCATTTCCTAGACAAAGGTTGTTTTTGAAGCAAGGTCTCACATTTACTTATTGATTTATTTATTATCTTTTTGAGACAGAGTTTCACTAAGTAGCTCAGGTTGGCCTTGAGTTTACTTTGTAGCTCAGACTGGCCTCAAACTTGTGGTGATCCTCCTGCCTCAGCTTCCCAAGTGCTGGAATACAGGTGTGCCCCAATAAACCTGGCCTCTTGGTTTTTTTTTTTTTTTTTTTTTTTTGTTTTGTTTTTTTTTGAGACAGTGTCATGATATGTAGTTCATGCTGGCCTTGAATTCACCATGTGGTTCAGACTGGCCCTGAACACACAGGAGTCCTCCTTCCTCAGCTTCTTGAGTGCTGAGATTACAGATGGCCCCACCATGCTGGCTGCCTAGAGAAACCAACAAATACCATTTAGCATCTTGGTGTTTAGGCATTCATCATAGATGTTTGTTTAATGCTTTTTACCACATTTCACCATTGTTTTAGTGATTCTGACATTAGTATTTACTTCGTAACTCCTTTTACATGTCACAGGATGGCTGAGGCATTATTTTTATCTCATTTATAAAATGAACATCTAACCTGGCAGTTAGTATTAAATAATAATAATTCTCCGTACTCCAGAGGCTGAGGCAGGAGGATCACAGATTTGAAGCTAGATTGCCAAATTAAGGTAACTCAAAAATAAAAGGCTAGAGAGGCAGCCTAGCACTTGCCTAGCATGCATAGACCCTGGGTTCAATTTGCAGTACTACCACCAAAGAAAGAAAAAAGAAAAAGAAGTTGTACTAAAAAAAAGGAAAAAAGTAAGCTAAATATAAAATTTGAAATATTCATGAGACTTCATAGTTATTCAAATTAATACAGACTTGGAAATGTAGGCTTCTAAAAGAAAGAGTTCTATTCTGTATTTTTGGAACAGCCCAAAGCACTTGCTGGAATTGTGGGCACTCTGGACACAGCAGTGGTGCCATTTGCTATTCCAGGGCTTCTCCACAGTCTCCAGTTTTTGAGGCTCTATGTGAGAGACATTGCATCCACCTAACAGCAAGTCAGGGCTGTGAAATGCTGCAGAGACATTGTTCGGTTGTATTAGCACATCACACCCAGCTGCGTTTTCACTCTCTTGGGGTCATTGAATCAGGATGTCATTTGAGGGAAATGTGGTGTGTGTGTTATTTTCATTGACTTCTGATTTCGTTTCTTTCTCTTGGACTAGTTCTAGATCCTCTGTTTTAAAAGTATGGTTCTAATGATTATAGTATCTTCAAAGGGAGATCACTTGAGATTGATTGATTCACTGATTGGTTAATGAAAGAAAGAGAGAATGAATGAATGACAGGATTTTGCTATGTTGCCCAAACTGGTCTCTTAACTTGTGGGTCTAAGACAAATCTCTGTAGTACTTTCAATGATACAAACAGCCTTATGTAGTATATGTGTCATAGGTTTGCCACCATCTGTATAAGAAATCCTCCTGCCTCAGCCTCCCAAGTAAGTAGGCTACTGGCATGCAACACCACACCAGTAGAACACCTGAGTTCTGATGGCAGCCACATATGCAGGAACTTTTATATTATCTTCTCAGCCCCAGAAAGATAAGTTATTATTGTCCCCTGAAATCTCTGGGTAGTGTTTACAGAACTGAAAGTTTAATAGTAAAATTAGAAATTTTCCTTTTAAGTTTTTTTTTTTGATTTCCTGGTAGAATTCTCTTCTTGTTCTGCACGTTGTGGTTTTGAGATTTTGAATTATAACCTGCTATTTCATAGAATTTTTATTGGGGGATTTTTAGTTGCTTTTTGAAATTAAGTCTAAATAGGTAGTCCAGGCTGGGACTGAACTCAGTATTTAGCATAGGTTGGCCTTAAACACATGATTCTTCTGCCTCAGCCCCCTGAGAGCTGATACCAAGTTTGAGGAAAACTTAATCTACTTAGAATTTTTTTTTTTTTTTCTCTTTCCTTTTTATCGGTACCGGGGATTGAACTCACGACTGCCTGCTTGTAAGGCAGGCGCTTATGCCTCTGAGCTAAATCCCCAGCTCCCAGAATTTTTTTTTTCAGTGCCACTCTTGCTTTCTACATTGTTTTAGACTTGGCCTTCAATCTCTTCTTGGCCTTTTGTTAAGATAAAGTGAAAACTTGGCCTTCATTGTATCATATTCCTCTGCTGGTTTTTAACCAAATGTTTTCCCAGCAGAGACTCTCATCTTCTATTTACAATACTACTTTGTAGTTTTGGTGTTTTTGAGACAGGGTCTCACTATGTGGTTCAGGCTGGCTTTGAATTCACTGCAGTCCTCCTGCCTCTGCCTTCCCAGTGCTGGAACTCTAGACATGTACTACTATACCCAGTTATTACTTTATGGTTTTCTGGTGTGCTTTTAGCTCCAGAGGCTGGTGTTACACATCTTTTTTTTTAGTTCTAATTTTTATTTTTGGATACTAGGGATCAAACTTACAACCTCATGCTTGCCAAGCAGAGGCAATGCCTCTGAGCTATATCCCCAGCTGTTCTTACCCATCTTGTTTCATTCTTCTTTGTTTTTTTGAGACAGAGTCTTTCTGTATTGTTTAGGCTGGCCTTGAACTTGAAAGCACTCACTACGTAGCTAAGGCTGGCTGAAAACTCCCAACAATTTTCCTTCCTTAGCCTCCTGAGTATTGGGTTTATAGACATGTGCCACTATGCCCAGCTGTATCTTTCTGAATTTCACTTTTTTCCTTAACAATAGAGGAGATTGAACCCAGGGCCTCAGGCATGCTTGTGCAAACACTCTATACCTACCAAGAGACCCAGCCCCCCCCCCCACTTTTTTAAATGTGTCTAACTAAGTCACCAGGTTGTCTTGAAATTTAAGATCTTCCTGCTTCAGCTTCTAAAATAGCTCCAATCACAAAGAAGCTCTTCCATGTCCAGCTGAATTTCATTTCCTGTTCATAGTCTCCTTATACTCACCTCTCACTTTGGGGCCTTCACACAGGTGACAGTTCATTTTTTCTCCGAACCTGGCTCATGACCCCGCTTCCTCTCCCAAAAACTCCTGCAGAAGATCGTTATAACCTGGCTCACTCTGCGACACACAGCGTGATGCAGAAGACTCTGCGGACACTCTGTTCTCGCTTCCGCTGTCTGGATGGGTCCAAGGGGGCACTGCAGTACTCGCCAGAGAAGTCCAGCCACATCATCATGGCCTGCTGTGTCCTACACAACATCTCCCTGGAGCATGGCATGGACATCTGGTCTTCCTGGCCAATAGCAGGGCCCATGCAGCAGCCCCTGGAGGAGGAGTATGAGCCCATGGAGTCCCTGGACCTAGAAGCTGACCGCAGCCGTCAAGAGCTGTTGCTGGCTCATTTCAGCTGATGGGAAGACTTTCCAGAGAGGACTGTGACAGCTTTTCCATGTACTCCCGCCTTCACAGCTTGGTCAGCTAGCGTGATCCAGTGTACAGAAGCTTGTTATGAATCAACATTGCCATCTTGTGTCTTAGAAGGGTTGGGGCTGGCCAGAATGTCATGATTCCAGCCAGGTGGTGGCACATACCTGTAATCCCAGAATTTGGAAGACTGAGGCAGGAGGATCACTGTGTATTTGAGACCGCTCGGAACTACAGAGTGAGGCCCTATCCCCAAAAAAAACAATCAGAGAATTTGTTGATTCTTTGCAAATGCCTTAACTAAACCAAAGCCCAGATGGTGCTCTCTGCTACCCAGTGAACTCCAGCTTGGCCTTCATTCCCTTGAAAGGTCACTGATAGTGAGTACAGTTGGGCCTAAAAGTCATGGGAAAGGGGAAAACAACACCTAGCCAAAACACTTTTTCAGTTTTGATGATCTGGAAGTTACAAATGAAAGCAGTGTTTATACTGAATGACTTGGGTGGCATTTTGATTTTTCTGCTTTGCTGACTATGTATACAAACATGAAGCATGAACAGTCTTCCTATGTAAGTAAATGTCTACTGCTCCAATTTTTCAGCTTTGTGTGCTTTTTGGGTTGCTTTTGGGTTTTGTTTGTATTTTTGCAATACTGAGGATTGAACCTAGGATCTTCTCACTGAGCAACATTCCCATCTCTTTTTAAACTTTTGAGATAAATTCATGCTAAGTTGCTAAATTGTGCGGATTAGGCTTGAACTTGGCGCTCTTCTGCCTCAACCTCTCAGTGTTGGGATTACAGAACAGATGTGTAGATCATACTTGTTATGGTCATGATGATAGAAGGTGTTTGGTGATTTTTTAAAAAATTTCTTGTAGAGAGCCTGGGATTTAGCTCAGTGGCATTAGCACCTGCCTGGCAAGTGCAAGGTCATGAGTTCAATCCCTGGTACCAAAAAAAAAAAAAAAAAAAAAAAAAAACACCCAATTCCTTATACAGAAACACAATTGCAGAAATAAATACTCTTAAGTATTAAGAAAGATGGTACCTGCCTGTAATCCCTGTAATCCCTGCTGAGTGAGGAGGGTCAGCACCAGTTCAATCTGGGATATACAGTGAGACCTTCAATAAAGTACAATTAAAAGAAAACTGGCCATGGTTGTGTTCACCTGGAGTCTCAACTACTCAAGACTGATGGAGGGAAGGAAGGGGAAAGCATCATAAACAGAATAAAGATGTGTTATGTACAAGTACTGACTCTCCATGATGAATGTAATCATGTACTGCAAACGTACTAATACAAAAAAGATTGATGTATGAAGGTCACAAGTTTAAGGCCAGCTTGAGCAATTCAGGGAGATAATAGCTCAAAATATGATAAAGAGCTGAATATGCTATTCAGTGGTAGAGTGTATACCTAGCATGTGTGAGTCCCTGGCTTCAATCTCTACTAATGGGAAAAGCATTAAGGGGAAAGGGTGATGCAAAGTATGATGGTCTATACCTGTGATCCCAGCATTGGGACACTGTGAGTTAAAGTTCATCGTCCTGGAATTCATAGCAAGTTTCATTTCAAAAAACTCGAAAGAAAAAAGGGAGAACGGAGAAAGAAGAATAAAAGGAAAATATAATTGCTCTGTTTGACGTACATTCTGGAATTTCTGGGAAGGTGGTGGTATGAACAGAAGAGAAAGAGCATTTCTATGATGTGAAGTTCAGATGCTGCAATATGACAACATGAGGAAGAGAAAAAAGAGACAACATGAGGGAAGTGGGTCCCTAAGATCCAGCAAGGATCTGAAGCAAAAGTTAAAGCCCACGGGAGAGCCAAAAGGGGATTCAACTAAGGAGAAGGGGGCACCAAGTAGTCTACATGGAAAGGGCAATGGGCCGGGAGCCATCTTTCAGAGGGGCCAACTGAATTCAGAGGAGCTGTGGGCTTCTCCATCTAATCTCAGGGAGAGGTGGAACCAAGTGGAAGTCAAAAGGAAGTCAAGGAGCCAAGTTCAAGCCAGCAGGAAGCAGACCAAACATTACTGGCTGCACAAATCTGTTCCAGCCTCACAGCCAGAAACCACCCTGAATTTCAGTGCCACTAAAGGTGTAGGCTTGACACAGTTATCCACCACCCCACTGTAAAGCTGTGGATGGCTTGCTGGGATTAATCAACATAGATCTGGACTCTTGTCTGTTCATTTTGTTTATCATGAACAGCAGAGACATGCCTTGAAGTGGGTATTTTTTTGTATTTTCTTTTTTCTGGTTTTGTTTTTTTCTTGATCTTTTTATATGAGTGTGAACATTGTTTCTAGTTTTGTTGTTCCTTTGTGTTCTTGCTTTTATTTTTTCCTTCTTTTTTTTCCCACCTGTCTTCTTTACCAGGTTCCCAAAGTTTGCATAATTTTCCTTTATCCATCAGCTTTGCTTTTAATCTCTTTCTCTTCTATTTCTCTATTTTCCCCTGCTAACTGCCTTTAAATTTTCTCCCTTAAAGGTAAAATCTCCATACTGAAGGAGTATTTATTTTGTACCATTTTCTGGCTTGAGATTTTGTTTATAGCCACAAATATAGTTCATATAGTTAAAAGTGGCAAATTAATAATTATCACAGTTTGTCATTTTCTAGGCTGCATTTGATGCTGCAGTTATTGCTGATTGTATTGCTTTTATTGTTGATTGTACTACCTTAACCAAGATGACGCAGTTGTTCTAATCAGTAGTTCTTCCTGGTGTGCCAAGACCAAGATTGCCTGTGAGTCCCAAATGATACTATAGGCTGGTGCCAAAGAACCAGGAGCTAGGCCAAATATGTAACGACTTTTCATCCCCAATGAATTGAAGAGGTGGGATCTTGCAACACACCTAAAACCCAAGGGCCAGCTATATCTGGAAAACATCTGTAAGAAGTAGTCATTTCCCAGGTAAGGGTTCTAAATACTAGCAATAAAGCTACTTGCATAAGCAATTTAAAAGCATCAACTCAAATAAAACTAAAGGAAAAAAGACACTTATGCAAGATGCAACTGCAGACTTCCAGCTTGCCAAAGGCAGACCTGGGGGGCAATGTGGTGGAACAATTTGAAAGCCCGCTACTTAGATTCTCTGACATGGTAACAGCAGAAGTAACAAAGCAGATGAATAAGGCTTTAGAAAAAATCAAATCAGAAATAATTTCTCAGATAACTACAAAGAGAGTGACCATAATGAAAGACATGGTTATTGAGTCTAGATCAAATATAGATAAAAATAAAATACAAAGGATAATAATGTCTCCAAGAAATTGAGAAGCTTAGAAAATGACAGAATCAATGAATGTCCAACATAGGAAACAAATACAATCCATGAGACATTCAAATAGATATATAGGAGATTAAAAATTCCATTGCAAGTATATGCAGAAGAATGAACCAAAATGAGGATGGAATATCCTCATTTTGACAGGATTGCAGTCAGCCACCATGAAAGATTTCTTAAAAATAGTAAAGGACACAAACTGCACTGTGGCACATCCCTGTAGTTCCAGCACTCAAGAGGCTGAGAGGAAAGAATCCTCACAAGTTCAAAGCCAGCCTGAACTACATAGCAAGACTCTGTCTGAAACCCCACACCCAAAAAATAAATATATATGAGACAAGGGACTATGAAAAATTCAACAAGTTCTAGGTTCTAGATGATGCAAAGAAGATTAACATAGATTGATTGGAGTCAATGAAAAAGCAGAAAACTGTAAGTGACATAAAGAAAAGAAAGAAAGAAGAAGAAAAAAAAACCTGTCCACAGAAATAATGGCAGAAAACTTCCCAAGCAGGGGAAAAGAATTTGATTTACAAATAAGGAGGCATATAGAACTCCAATTAGCCATTCTTATGACTTGTGTCTAGATGTCCCTTAAAAGCCTCATACAGTGATAGGCGGAGCTTTTTCAGAGGTGGCTTAATCTAGAATGTGTGATTGATTCATGGTGCAATGCTAGGACCAAGGGCACAGGGATTAAGGGTGCTAGGATTAAAGGTGGGTATTACTCAATCAATCCACTAATTGGCTTGGCACTGCCCTAATCTCAGTAGCCTAAGATAAAAGGACATGGAGACACTGTTAAGGCCCACCCCTTGTTAACTTCTAGTCGTTAACTGTTTCTCCTCTGCAATGCCAGTCTGCACTGTGATGGTTTGTGTCTGGATGTTCCCCCCAAAGCCTCATGCAAAGTCTAGATTGTGATTGGCAATGTGAGTGGTGCACCTGCCCAGGGGCAGCTAGCTGGCATAAATTTAAGGGAGAGAAGAAAACATGCTTTTCCTTTTTTTCCCTTTTGCTCTGGTCACTTCTGGTATCTGCTGCAGCTGCTATGTTGCCCCTTAGCCGTGCCATCCTGACTTGGAGCCAGCAAGTTATGGACTAAAACCTCCATGCACTGTGAGCTAAATAAACTTTTCCTTCTGTCATTTTGGGTGTCAGGTATTTTGTCTCACCAGTGAGAGAAAAGTAACCAAGATAGCTGGGTCACCCTGCCTTAGAGCCAGCTAATGAGGACTGAAACCTCTAAAAACGGAGCTAAATAGGGGCTGGGGATTTAGCTTAGTGGCATAAACGCCTTCCTTGCAAGTGTGCGGTCATGAGTTCAATCCCTGGTACCAATAAAAACGAAAAAGACCAAGAAAAGAAAACTGAGCTAAATAAACCTTTTCCCCTTTAACTTTCGGTGTTGAGGATTTCACCTCAGCAGTGAGAGAAAAGTAAAGCAGCTGTGATAAAAAAAAATCTATTTTTTTTAGATATATAAAGGTATATAATAGTCAAGATTCCAGAAATTCAACACAAGAACAGAATATTGAAAGCTATTAGAGAAAACAAACATTACCTATAAAGCAAAGCCCATCAGAATCATAGTGGACTTCTCAACACAAACTCTCAGAGCTTACAGTGAAATATTTCAAGCCCTAAAAGAAAACAGCCTCTCACCCAGATTGATGTACCCTGAAAAAGTATCATTCAAACTAGATGGAGAAGGGACAGGGATTTAGCTCAGCAGTGTAAGTTTTTGCCTGGCAAATGCAAGGTTGTGAGTTCCATTTCTGGTACCAAAAAAATTAATGGAGAAATAAAAGAACACCTGAAGAAACTCATGATCACCAAACCAGTTATTCAGAATGCTCTGAACAACACTGTGGCAACAGATAATAAGGACTACAAATCCGTGAACTCTAACAGAATGAATCTACCAGGCAAGGCAAACAAAGTAGAGAGATAAAAGGTTGGGAAGGAGTCAACAATAGGAAAATAATGTGACAAGAATAAGTGAATACAGGGGCTGGGGATTTAGCTCAGCGGCATAAGCTCCTGCCTTACAAGTGCGCAGTCATGAGTTTGATCCCTTGGTACCGATAAAAAAAAAGAATAAATGAATACATATCAGCTATAACCATCAATGATAATGGTCTCAAGTTTTCAATCAAAAGAAACAGATTGGCAGAATGGATCAAGAAGCAAGATCAAATAATATTCTGGAAGCTGGGCATTGTGGTGCACACCTGTAATCCCAGCACTCAGGAGGCTGAGCAGGAGCATCACTGTGAGTTCAAGGCCAGCCATGAC